AATAAAATCTTTAAAAAAAGAAAAAAATGATGTCATTTATCCATGTCTTTATTTGTAAAACTGTGAAAAACAAAACAAAATGTGAGAAAATTACTTTGAAATAAATCAAACGTAGACAGCCACTTTCTCAATCGAACTTTTTTATCACCAGGCCAACTCGTGCTGTTTCAGCAAGTCCCATGTAGAGAGCCCCTGCATTACTACGTCTCTTGAAAATTTTTTGCCATGACTATAAAAAAATGAACATAACAACAGCAACTATCTCATAGGGTGTTATAAAGATTAAATGAGACAAAAATGCATTACCCTGGAACAATGGATGTTAGCACTTAATAATTACACCCTTAATTTGTATTGATATTGTTAACATCAGAATAACCTGAAGTGTTTGCTAAATCACTATGGATTTCTGGGCTCAACCCCAGACCTACTGAAGCCAAATTGCTAGCCGGGCCTGGAAATCTGCATTTTAACTAGCCTTTTGAGTGATTCTTTTCATAGATTTAAATTTGAAGACCACTATCCAGAGATTAAGGCTTACTTCTTCCTTATTCCTCAGAGCTCCAATACAGGGATCTGTCTGTACACAGTGAATGCTTGCTGACAGTCTAACTGATATTTAATATTACTAGATGGGTATGATATAAATTATTAAAGCAATCTGGAATTTGCAGCACATTTATGCAGTATAAGGGAATAGATTTTTACATTTTGAACTTCAGCAAAACCTAAAAGGAGGCTTGATTTGTTAATAGTATTAAAAGTAGCCTCAGTTTTAATCATTTTAACTTTCTTTATAAAAGATTTGAATCCTCTCATATTTTACATAACACATTTTTCACTTAAAATAATTCAGTACAGTTAGGTTTTTATTGCTCTTCGTTTTGTTTTGATTTACTTTAGAAAATCCAGAGAGTATACACATGTGCTCATGGAGAGGACAAATGACCATAATCCCTGAGTTCTGCACTATTAATATTAGGCCCACAACTAGGCTTCTGTCACTACTTTCTTTCTTATATTTGTGTTCATTTTAAGGAAGCTTCCAGTCTAAAAGGAGAACTGCAAATGAAAATGTCTTCAACTGTTTAAAATCAAACAAAAATTTAAATCAAGTACAGTATCTATTTAAACTTCTCATCTATAGAACAGTTACACAATTTGTTGCACTGAATAGAAAATTTTAATATGAGAATAAATCTTTTCATTACATGTTTGATTGCATTGAAAGAACAAGAGAGTTAACCTTTGACAAAAGAAAAATTAGCTACACTCTGGTGAGCATAGCATAATATATAGAGTTGTTGAATCAATATGTTGTATGCCTAAAATAAATGAAACACTGTATATTATCTTCAATTAAAAAAAGAAAAAAAGTTAGGAATTATTCTAACTTCATTTCTGTTTCATGTCATTAAGTAAACATAAAGATTGAAAGATAAAACCAGATATTTTATCCGTGCAAGAAAATGTTTAGGAACTAAATGTTCTTACTTGGTGAAAAGCCTTATAGCATATGCTCTACTGTGAAAGATAAAATTCACATAATTCATGTTCATATTTTCAACTACTATCAGCTATCTCAGTAAATCTAAATTCTCTAAATTAGTTGAAGAGATTTAGCGAGCTTTTATGACACATTTATATCATAAGCCAAATGTAAGAGTGGTTGGGATTAGACATGAAGAACTTGACCTGCAGGCCACCAGATGGACTTATTTTCTAGCCAAAAATCTGCTCCTTTATAAATATCAAACACCCTTGACTTTCTGATGCTACAAATAACCTTTAAAATGACTCTGAAGTACAGTGAGACTTTTTTAAATCTCTCATTCTCAGGAAAGGAAAGGATGGGATTTTTTTTTTCCTTTTTTTTTCTGGCAGTGATGCTACATTCTGACAGTTTGCTAAGCAGTGGAAATCATGCTATAAGCAAAAGTCTCTGCAAGACAGAGATTCTTACAAAATAATCTTTTTTTTTTTTTTTCCAATGGATACTGGCTACTTTGAGAGGATCCAATTCCAAGAACAACTTTCCTGAAGCAGGGTTCCCTGACACTGAAAGCGCAGGACACATATACTGAACCACTAGGCTTCTCTTCTACCACTGTCCAGTGATGGCTTGATCTCCAGACCTCCTAATCTATCTCTGTTGCACAGGCTGACTTTGGACTTCCAAATCAGTAACAGTAACCTATCTTCTAATAGGATAGAATAAACTTTGAAAATGAATGACTGTCTTAAACAGAAGGTTTAGCGATTTAGCAAAGCAACAAATTAAAAATGCTTTACTTGAGCAACCAAATAATTTGATTTTTCTTAGAGTTAACCAGAAAATTCCCAGACATGTGATGAGCAGTAGAAAACTTCAGATGAAATTTGACTCCTGTTGAACATTCATCATTGAATTTCCTTGCATTTTGAGAATCACCTTGGTAATCTCACATGGCCCTCGTTATTGACCCAGTTAGAGAAAGTTACCTATCAAAGACCCAGTCATTTGTACACAGATTTTACATTGCTTTCCATCTGTTTCCTTGACCTCTTTTATGTCCATGAGAACTTACAGCTTTGAGTATTCTAGATTTAAGAACAAACTGAGTTGCAGAACATTTTTCATCTGTCTTTCTTATCAGTAATGGCGATGGTGAATTCTGTTGCGACGCCTGAAACAAATCTGAGTATGCTCAAAAAAAACCAAAATAGATTTGGAAAAGGAGACCCCTTCTGGAGACATGTGGTTGGTAGGTGAGACTTTACAAATACTAACCTCATTTAAAAGCTTGGAGGGCGCGTCCCAGCAGGCTCCGAGAGTAAGAAAATGAGCCTAGACTAGAGAGGAGACGTTCAAGATCATTAACAAGGTATCCAATTTAATACTCACCATAACTCAATACCACATTTCATTCATTCACTCGTTTGCCATGTTTTTTTCTGTTACTCCTTAAAATTAGGAACTCGGTCTTAATTAAATGCATAAAATTTCTCCAGGGAATAAATATACGAAGTGGTAACACTTACTTTCCAGTAATAAACTGACTCCTGGACGGTGTGCAAATAGGCTGGACATAGTAGTTCTCCAGTTTAACTCCTTCGGCAGCGAGCTTGTCAAGAGTGGGAGTCTTGATCTCCGAGCCGTGGTAACCCACATCTCTAAATCCCTGATCATCCGCTAGGATGAAAATGAGATGGGGTTGGGAGGTGGCAGTCGTACTGGGCTCAGGTCTCTCTCCAGACTGAGCTCGAAAGGTCGCTTCCTCCTCCTCCTCCAAGCCCTGGCCCCAGGATAGGTAACCGTAGGTCAGGAGGCTGAGCGCCCAGAAGGCTGCCAGCGCCCCCATGGCTAGCATCTTTCCCGGCCAGACCCAGGCTCGAGGAGGCGGCGGAGGCGGAGGCCCCGCACAGCCCCTGGGGGCCATTCACTTGGGTCCCGGCTGAGACTCCACTCGCAGAACCACGCACCGCGTGCGCCGCCGCCGCCGCCCACATGCACGCGGGAGGGGTCGGCCGAGCAGGCGGTGGACCGTCTCCACTTGGAAAGAAGTCCTGCGCCCCTCTCAGCTGTCACCACATCCAGCAACGTCAACCTTCTAGAAGTGGTGAGACGTCGGAAAAACAAGGAGTCGCTCTTCTCCAATTTTCGCTTTCTCCTCCTCCCCGCTCCCCCGAGCAGCTTCCACACAAAGTTAATGCTTCCATCCAAAAGCTGTCGGGAGAAAAAGTCTAGTAAGGCACTGAGAGCCACCTTCCGTGGGGGCTTTCCCTGCCAGAGCGCCCTGGACGTTGCGGGGCGAGGCCCTCGCGGGCGCGCGCGGGTCGCTGGGACCCGCCGTCCGGCGTCCCTCACCTGGAAAGCCCTGGAAGTTGAGCCGCCCCGCCTCGCTCGGGCTCTAGCAGATAAACTGCTGCCTGAAGGGGACTGACTTCCTGACCACTCTCTCCACTTTTCTGGCTATTTCTCCCGGTCCTCTCCAGAACGTTTGCCAATCTCCCCGACACGAGGCGGCGAAGTGAGGGGGGGAAAAGCCCAGTTTCCTGATTTCTTTCCGCGGCTAACCACCCTTTTTCTCCAGGAACGTCGGGCACCGGGTCCTCCGGGCCGCTGGAGCGCGTGGGGGAGCGAAGCGGGGTCCCCGCCCGGGTGGCCGTTCCACGCCGAGCCCACCAGGTCTCCGCGGAGTTGGTGCACCCGGCCGAGGCGCGGAAAGATGGGTGCGTTTTGTCAGCCAACTTACTTAGTTTTGGCACCAGGCGTTCTTTGCCGCCTCCTCCCTCTTTTCTGTCCAGTGAATCACGGAACGGTACTTTCTGCTTTAGCTCCTCCAGGAAGAGGGGGAGGGGTAAGGTTGGTGTAGAGGTTAGGTCTTTCCTTTTTCTTTCCGGGAGGGGGAGGGAGGGGAGGCTTTGCGGGACGGAGAGAAAGCTGCGCGCCCCTGCTCGGCCCCTGCGGGATCCAGGGGGGTCCGCCAGGGCTAACTCCTCTCTGGGTTTCCCCGGCTGCCCTCCATCATCCGGACAAGGGGCAGACCGCGGCGGCGCGGATCGGTTGGGGTGAAGCGGGCGCTTCTTTTCGTGGGTCCGTAAATGAAGAGCTCTCTGGCCCATCCCGAATGCTGCGCTTGCAAACTTTCTCTAGCTTCTGGAGGGAGTGCGAGAGAAGAGCAGGAGAAACAACAAACTGCGTGGCATACTTTCTTCCTCTTCTAGTTTTCCTTTACTAGTCTCTTCCCTCCACCCCCCACCCATTTTTCCTACTCCTTTATCCCCGCCTTCCCCCCCCGCCCCCGTTTTTTTAACACTCGCGACTACAAGTTTTTAAATTGAATTTCCTTTCCCTTTTGCTGGCCTTGACAGCCTGACTTCCTCAAGAGGTTCTCCCTACGTGAAGATATTGAAATTGTCCCCTTATTCTTACCGCTCCCCAAACTTGCCCACAGGGCATCTCCAGCCAAGAATGTGGGGCGAGGAGGAGTTACACATTTCACCCTCGAGAGCCCAGGCTGCACTCCTGCAGTAAGGAAACCATTTCCCATATAATAGTTCCAGGAACTTCATCACTTTTTTTTTTTTTTTTTAACTATGTGGAGCGAAAGTATTTTAAAAGTTTGTCCTGACTAGGAAGATATGCCTGCTTTTACTAGAATCACAGGTTTTTAAAGCCCTGCTCCGTCAGGAAAGGGATTTGTGGTACCTATAGAGGAGGCAATCAATGCCAAGAGCCATTGAGACATGTTTTTCTTTTCCAAAATTTGTTCAAGTTATTTATTGAACACCTACTATGGGCTGGCACATAAAATGCCAGATTCTCCCAATTGCCTAAGCATAAATCTACGTTTCACTTAGCCATTTGTTTTTAATTCCTTTTTGTTGCTAAAGTTCCTAGTTAGTTTCTAGGCAAAACCTTTGTAAAATGGAAACTTAGCACCTGTGAAACTTGCCGTGGGCTCCATATAGGTAATTTTGCTAATGTGTATGGGCTTCTACCAGTTTATTTTCTTGTGAGGCCATTCTGATTAGTCTGTGGAGAGATGAGCCGTGTTAGAAGTCCTATTTGGAAATATGATCTTAACAATTCTGTAAGGTAAATCACAAAATATGTAATGACTGAACTGAATATTGCACTGAGGTAAGGCTCCCAGCTTTGTAGGCCTAACAAGGTTCTTGAGCGTCAACAGGCATTCAGATGGATTGACTGCTTTTAGTTGAGGTTAGTCAATGACATAGCATAAGAAGTGTCCGTGTTGCTCTGCAAGAAAGAGGGCACTTTTCAGTTCAGATTTTAAGTAAGAGTAGATAATAATAATAATGTTAACATTTATGACTTACCATGTGATAACCATAGTGTTCTATATACCGATTATATACCATATATACACGCACATATATATATATACATATGCCTTATAATGTTTATACAGTGCTTTACATACTTTATTGCTTTTCTTTCCTCTACCAATTTTATGACATATTTTTCCATTCAACAAATATCTGAGGAGCTGCGCCAATGCAAGTAGCTGGGAAAGTAATGGTTAACTAAATCAGGCACAGCATCTGCTCTTGTGAAACTTACATTGATGGGAAGAGATACGCTGATCAATGAATCATCCCCAGACTCCAAATGTTACCTACTCTTCTGCAGTATTCTGAAGCAAAGGAACAAATTTAAGAGAAATTTTAAAACAAAGAAATCTGACTTAGACTGGGTGTGGTTAGTGGGTGAGGTGGTGCAGGGAAGTAACTTTAAACTAAGGGAAATGTTATTCTGTTTGATATCCACCCCTTTCTTTTTTAACAGTTTAGCTTTTTATTGAACAGATTACAGAAGAAGTTTAGTCAAAAAGACCAAAGCTCAGACTCCTCTGATTCTTCTTTCTTTGCTTCTACTTTCTTCTCAGCTGGGGCAGCAGTGGTGGAAGGAGCAGGACCTTCTGCTGGTGCTGCACCAGCTGCTGGGACAGGTCCATCAGCCCCTACTTTGCAGATAAGGCTCCTGATGCTCACATTGGCCAGAGCCTTTGCACACAAGCCCAGCCGGGAAGGTTCAACGTTTACACCCGCTGCTTGTATTATCTGTGACCCAGACCCCATCATTGCGCAGGATGAGGGTTGAATAGAAACAGACAAGCTCGCAGAAGGAGGCCATGGTGCAGGTGAAAGCTGAATGGATGCTATCAGGCAAGGTGCTAATCACAGGATGAAATGAGGGCCTCACTCCTCCCTGGCCTTAGCTTCTGCAAAACAGAGCACCTTAGTGGCGCTGAGGAAAAGCTGTTATCCCCTTTTACAGGAAACTTAGACTTGCAAATCTGTCTTCAAAAACTCATGTTTTTCAAAAAATAATCTTACTGCAAGTGGACACTAAGATATTTTCTAGCCACATAGCACAGAGAGAACACAGCTGCCAGAGTTAGAGAATTCTAATCTTCACACAAGGCATGCATGCTCTCCACATTGAGGATAGAAGGGCAGAATTTTGGCCCTAAAAATGCCACTTCTGGAGTAAACAGTACGAATATTAAGGGAGACTAAGAACTATTTACAATTAGCAGTAAGAGCCAAGAAACAAGAATAGTCATGCTACAGCAGGCCAAATGAGATGTGAGTCAAAGGGAAAATCCATTGGTGGGGTGCCCTAGCCAAAGTGAGAAATGGATAATGGTTATTCCCACATCCACAAGGAATACCTTGAGAATGAAATCAGAGGCTGTTGAGTGCCCTATCCTTTACTGTACATACACTGGTATTATAAGCACATAAACTTCACATTTCTCATAACTAGATTGGGTTTCATGCACTCTAAGCAGTAGTTTTAGCGTCCTCACGAAGTCCCAGATTAAAGACCCTCTATAATTTAGCTGTTTTTTCCTGACTTTAGAGCAGCATTTTTGGTGTTCAGGAATCAGCTTCACTTACAGAACAACACCATAGGTTTATTGTAGCCTAGATATAATCACATTACACAGTCATGGGATGACATTACAAAAGTTAAAGGTACTATTTGATTCAGTAAAGAGAGAGAGAGGACATAGAATTGCCTTGAGATGAAATTAGGGCAGACTGATTATTCAGGTGAGGCTTCATCAGGAGATGGGACTGTAGCTATGCATTAAAGGACAATCAAAATTTGGGAAAAAAGAGAGGAAGTTAAAAGAAGGACATTTCAGGTAAAAGGAAAGGGAAGACCAACTGTCCGAGACACATTTTGACTGGGGTTGTATGGTATATGATGTTAGGAAGTTCAGATCACACCAGATATTGAGAAGATTTGAAAAGGTATAAAGCACTGGAACTTGATTTGAGGGCAGTAGGGTGATGAGGTCCTGTGAGAAGGACGTAACATGAGAAAGTACTTAAGTAAGTCGTAGTAAGGTCCTTTCTGGTATAGATTTATAGACATAGAAGCAACAAATAAGGGCTTCAGTCCAAAAAATTTGAAGAATTGAATTTTACCCTAAGAGCACCAAGTCTATCCAAGTTTTTTTGGTTAGGGCAAGACATGATAAAAATATAGGAAAAGTTATCCCAGGACATTTTTAGGGAGTGATTTGAAGGAACAAAGACTAGAATCACACAACCACCACAGTGTGAAATTTCTACAGCAATATACTCCTTAAGTTAAAGAACTATGCTATGACTACATCATCTTCTGGGAGAGGGGCATTTGTTAAAAGCTTAGGAAGGAGTAATTAATCACTTAAGAGAAAAACAAGTGGCAAAGGAATCAGGGACCCAATAAAGGATGTTCTTTGACTGGAGGATGGAAAAAGAAAATAATAGAAGGTATTGTCAGAAAGGTCACCATCAGAGAGGGAGATCAGAGTAAGACAACACAGTGTGGCCCGGGGCTCTTTAGGGGACAGACCATGGGTTGTGGATGCCAGGGTGGAATTCAGGAGTGCTTATGAAAAGCCTATCAGTAAATAGAGAAGTTAAGAAAATCATGGAAAAACCCTAAAATGAATAGTTGCACAAATTTCTTTAAAACATCCATGTTAATCCTTACCATAAAGGCATTTCCCATAGCCCCCAGTATGCATGGGCGGAAATGCCCTAGCTTACTATTATTGATAAGTAGTTGTTCTAGTTACACCTAGATAAATCGTTGTTGTTATTTTGCTAGGTTAAGAGAGCATGCCTGCTACCCATTTCCCTTTCTTCTATAGACCCTTATTTTCAACTAAACATGTAATTAGATGCTTAAAAGATACAGCTAATGTTTAAATGTAAGCTTAAAAAGTTGTGAAAATAGTCACTCCAGAGATTTATAGACTATTAAAAAGATTTAAAACTTGGTTGCTGCTTGTTTGGGTTTATAAGCACAGTAAGTACTTAAAAATGAAGGACTAGTCACCAAGTTTAAATTCATGCACAGTCTAAAAGAAACATTTATCCTAATATGGCCATTTCGATATGCTTTCTATATAATCAACTCCCTATTCATCTTTATTAACTCTTTATTAGACTCCAGAATGAAGGCTGCTTTGAGCCATTGTCTCAAGAAACAAGAGCTCTCTGATTAGGGTGGTTAAGTAACAGATTCAGTAATTGTTAAGTAAAGATCACTTCTCTTTCTTGGGAAGTCTCTGTTGAAATAAGCTGTAACAATCTGAATAATGTGAGTGACATTAAAATTTCAACAGTGTATAAACATAGCTACCAAAAGTAACAAGGTTTTTGACATTAGAAACTCAGAAAATCTGAACTGTCAAAGACAAGATCTTTCATTCAGCAAATGTGTGAAAGCAGACTTTTAAACAGAATTTGTACAGTAGGGAAACCTGGTAATTTCCACAATTTTAAGATCTGTCCTTACTGCTTAAATTTTAAGTAAAATTCTTTATTATTTGCATAGCAGTGTAGCATTTCAATTTCTAGACCTGGCTGCCCATGAGATTCTTTTAGGGCTTTTTTTTTTTTTTTTTTAATAGGAAATTCCAACCAAGACTGAAATCAAAATATCCAGAGTTTGGGGATATCTATGTTAAGAAAAACTCTCCAGGTGATTGTGGTATGTATAGAATTTTGAAAACCAAATTTAGATTTGGTTTAGAAGCCAAACCATCGAAGTTTTGATAGGATTATTTAATGGATGATGTTGGTGCCATTTATCAATACAATAGGGGAAACACAGCTGAAAAAGGGGTGGATAAATCTAGAGTCAGAACATCTGAGGGCTGAACAGTAAGTTTCTGTTAGATGGTAAGAAGAATTAAAGTTGGGATATAGCCAAGCCACCAGGATCAAGAAAAGAAGGGAAAGGCATTAAAGCTTAAGTGGGTGAGTGACAGGGGCAATAGACCATGCAGGCACTGCTGGATTCAGATACACTGAAAGGAAAGATTGGAAGGAAAAGCCAAGTTCTAAACCCAACTCATCCATAGTGATGTCTTCTGGCAGGATCTGTAGTATTCTCCCTGTGGCATGAGCCAAAGGTCTGTTCTGTTCAAAGGTACTGACCTCCCGAGGTTGAAATGTGCTAGTGTCTGGTGTCAATGAGGCTAGTGAAATCTAGAGTCAAGGCTACTCTAAGTGGCCGATCTGGCATCCAGAAAGTAGTGTGTTCCCAATTTTGGACTGTATGAATTTATAAAAATCACATGTTTTAAAGGCTATAAGAATCATATAAATCATAAGAATAAAAACCATATGAATGTATAAGATATAGTGGTGAAACTAATAGAAGTTGGTGATTGGAGAATAAAAATGAGGGAGGAATAAATTATTATACCTAGTTTCAGGTTTAGGGATATTGCCTGAATGGTAGTACCATTTATAATGGTAGAAGTCTTGAAAGGACTAGCAGTTTGAAGACTAAATGGAAAAACTTGCTCTGGTGTTGTTGAACTTGAGATATGTGAAGCATCCCAATGGAGGAGTGCAGTTGATAGGTGGATATATGGGTCTGGACCTCAGAGAACAAGGGAGAAGAGAAAATTGTATCCACATCTAGATAGGGTAGGTAAAATTTCCCAAGGGAACTTGGAGAATAAGAAGTGAGAAAGGAGCCTAGGACAGAGCTATTTAGGATAGGGAAGATGAAATAGGATCCACAGGGAAACCAAGAAGTAGCAAGAGAAATGTAACTGCAAAGATGGCAAGTTTTATTGAACATTACTCAATAATGGCATGGTGCCAGCACTATGCTAAGTGGTTTCTCATGAACTATCCCTGTACTCTGCACAGCCTCTGCAGATAGATGCTATTATTACCATTTTACATGTGAAAAAACCTAGGTTACGTTACATCAGGTGGTTGTACCAAGAGAAAACAAGAGAATGACATGATAAGAGAACAGAGTATCAAATAGCTAAGAAGAAGAGAACTAACACACAAAGAAGTGAGAAAGGTCAATAAAGTCAAGAGTGAAGAGAACAGTGAGATGAAGAACATAGTAGGTGTTAATTTATTGGAACAAGGTCTCTGCAAATAACTTACTAAAGCTCTTTTCTTATCATAGACAATGACAGAGCTCTATTGTATTAAAGTGTTGATGAACAAAGTAGGTTTGAAAAGAAAACAGGGTTTTATATGAACTCAAAATCTATTAAAAGAAATTGATAATCATCAAATTATATAAATGTTAGAGGAGCCAGATGAGATGTGCAAAGCCTTTATAAGGAAAAGTATATATTTATATTGGGAGTTGAAAATATTTGAATACACAGTTTTGAATAAACTGTTTTCTGAACTAAGTACTCAGTGTTATAAAGTTGATCAGAAAGATGCACCATGGAATCATACTTCCCCCTTGCTAGCTGATAAGTTACTGAGCCTCTCTTTGCCTCATTTTTCTTATCTGCAAAATATGGATAATA